TGAACATTCATTTGAGGTTAAAGACTTAGGATTTTTAATACTCGTACAGTCGAGTATTAAATGACCATATTTTAATCTTTTGAAATATGTATAAATGATGTATTAAAAAAAAAACCAATTTTAAAGTAAGCTATTTAGTTTTCTCTGAAACCGAAATTAGGCTTTTCCAAAATCATGGTAAACACAATTCCAGCTTTTTGATTGGACGGTCGTTTTCAAATGGGAATTTGGTGAGTCGATCATGAGAGAGAAGTTAGTCGTAATTTGGTCATCGAAAGGAAACAGTCGTTTGTCTCAAGATAGGGTGTGGTTCGTGAGTTTGGATACCGGCGTAACGAAAAGAAGTGAATAGTTTGAAGAAGGAGATAACAAGTGGATTAAAATAGGTCCTTGTATCTGCCGTGGGCATTTTATAAAGTATATGTGAAAGTATTCTTACGGCAGCAAGTTGACAAAAGGAGGTCATAGGTCAAAAGGAGGTGGTGTCATAAATAAGTAGCATAGTTTGGAGAAGTGAATCAGGTGGTTTTTGTGTAGTCTGAAGGAGGTTTGAAGAGACGTAAAGAAGGAGCCTAGATGCCAAAGAGGGGAGATCACATATTTGAGGAGACTGGACTTTTCTGGGTATGTTCCAACATACAACTCAAGAAGAAAATAAACTGTAAGTGTTTGTACAATTGAATTTTATATCTGTGAAGGATCGTTTCGACATCATGGTCATTATCATTAAAATTTAAGAACTGAGGTTTTGTTAGGCTAATCAAAAGTTTAAAGTTTTGTGGTTTCTTTTTTCAAGTAAAGAAAATTTCAAGTCAAATTGGTTTTTCACGTAATATAAATGTATGTAGCTTTATAATCTTATTATCATAATAATTTGATTTATTTTCTTGTATGCTGATTGATAAGATAACGACAGAATTTAATAATTGTTTTATTCGTTCATATAAAATAAAGAAACGTAAATCTTTGTAATAGAATATATTTGTATTCTTCGTCACTGTCACTATTCAATTCTTCTTCTTGTTGTTCTTTATTTTGATTCGTGACTCGTATTTGTTCGTAGTACCCGACATCACATTTTCTATTTTTAATTTGGGTTTATTTTAAGCGTAAATATGTTGTACAGTTTAGTACTTGGCCAAACTAAAACTACGTTAGATTTTTTGATGAGAAATGATAAATATACCTGCTGTAACACTAGACTGTATATTGTTTTTTATTAAAGTAGACTCGCGATTATCCGAGTCTAGGTTATCCGAGCCCCTTGGTTAACCGAGACAAAAGTCGTATCTGGTGAGTCACAATATTACGAATAGTTATGCGCTGTTAGGTCGAGCCAAAACTTTTAGAAATTGGTCATCGCCCTATTTCCAGAAATGTTTGTATCGCGTTTTGTCTACAATTATAGTTCCTACGTTAATCAAAGTAAAATGGACAAAGATGAATCAATAAAGAAAGTTGCTTCAGATTAAGGTTTTGAAGAAGTAACTGTGGGAGATTAGAAGTGTAAACGGAATGAAATCGAACAGTATGTTAACCGAAGTGTGAGTGTTGGAAGTTGATTGGAAGATCATGAAGAAAGGAGACTATGAGCAAACTTCTGAGTCATTATTCTTGTGGTTTTCACAAATGAAATGATTGGGCAGCTCGATAGGTGACCCAATACACCAAGGTTATGGATGAGGGTTAAAACTTTTGTGCTAGTGAGAAATGGATTGACTCATGGAAGAAAAAATATGGTATTCCACAATTGAATCTTTGTAGCGAAAAACTTTCTGCTGACTCAACCAAAATTGGAACATTTTATTTAAAATTACAGGAGATTATCCTTAGAGATTGACTGACTAAAATGCTTTCTTCAAAAACACTAGCCGCTAAATATGAAGGAAGTGCATCCGGTTACAAGAAAAGCAAAGAGAGGATCACAATCATGATCTGCAACAATGCTTATAATTCATTAAAATTAAGAGCTCTTTCAATAAAAAAATCCAAAAGTTGAATCCTTACTACAACCTATAAAAACTAATGCAATGCATGGATGGACTGTAGCACTTTTAAGAACTATTTTTTTAATGACTTTGTACCAGTCATTGATGTCTAACTCCTAGGCCAAGGTATGATACAAGCAAAGAAGAGGAATTATTGGCGAAGGCTTCTTCAGGTACTACTGAACAGGCTAAATGAAGAAGTGACTGTAATTGACGCAATGAAGAAGATCACGGTTAAAGATGTTTGCTATTGGATTGAATCTAATTGATGTAAATGTTTTTAACTACTGTACTGTATTAGTTTTTAGTCATTGAAATAACCAGAGTTATTTTTATTTACGGGGTTTTCTATCTGTACAGCCAATCTTGGTGTTAACCGAGTTTTTCCGTATCCGAGATAGTTACGGTCCCAATTACCTCGGATAACCGCGAGTCTACTGTATTTGAAAAATCGATGATCATATCTTGGGTAACATCTATTACGCAAAACTGTTTTGACGTTGTCTTGACTAATTTTTTCCACTCAGAAGGCAAGTATACTATTTCGTTTACTTTTTTTTTTCATTTTCATTTACTTTTTTCGTTTTTCTTTTTCAATCAGACCAAAGCAACCGTCGCACGGTAGAAAACTGTGACCGGGTTCTGGAAAGTGATGTATAATTTGCTGAATATTTCTATTAAAAGCATTTATGAATGTATGAAAGAACTGCACTATGGTGAGATTTTTGTTTTTGGGCAAAACAGTTGTCCGAAACAAATAGAGAGTCGAAACAGTTTTCGGGACAAAGTTTGTTAAATAATGATGTAAAAAACTTACCACTTCGTTACAACCTTTTTTGGCAGTGAGCTCATGTTACATACAGTGTAGAAACCACTTATGGAATAAAATTGTTTGTGTCCTTATTTTAGAAAATAATAAAAAACATTAAGATACCTTAACTTTGAAATTTAAATGTACACTTTTTAGACATAAATTTGAATGTACAAGGTGATCAATGCACGTCTGGCATAGTGCATAATCTGTATTTTAAATAAAACACCCTGTATATTTTTATGTTTTTTAAAAGCTCCTTAACAACCTGATTTTAACGAACTATATCATGTAGGGTCTATGATGAATAATACAAGGTGAAATTTTGAAATTAGGTATTTTCTTCAAGACAATGAATTCATAGAATACCCGAGGTAATTGATAGGATTACATTAAAATAAATGCTCAACATGTTCTCCACCTTATTGTTGGCAATAACACAGTCTCCTATAAAACTCGTTCCGAACTTTGTTTAAAGTTTGAGGTGAAATATTCCGTATTTCTGTAGTTATTCTTACTTTTTGAGGTCTTCAATGATAGTTGATTGTGTTGCATATACTTTGTTCTTAAGATAACCCCACAAAAAAATCCAAAGGCGTAAGATCTGACGACCTAGCTGGCCGCTTACTAGTCCTCTTGATCAAATCCACTTATTGAAGAAGATTTCATTCAAGTAATTTCTCACCATTAAAGCATAATGGGGTGTTGCACCGTCCTGCTGGAACCAGACAGTTTCATGCGGTAGGGTCGGATCTATTGGATTGGGATATAAGTTAGCCAACTAAGGAAAAACATCGTCTCTTAGCATGCTTAAATATTTTTCCGCTGTCAAATTATCATCTATAAATATAGGACCAATACTATGATCTCCTATAATACCTGCCTAAACATTCAACTTTTGAGGATACTGAGTGTGTATCTCACGCATCCAATGAGGATTCTCCGCTGACCAATATCTACAGTTTTGTCAGTTTACCTCTCAGTTGAATCTAAATTTTGATTCATCAGAAAAAAAGAATAGTGCTAAAAGCTATTTCATTTGTTAATTTTATCCATCATTCTTTTGCAGAAATCCATTATACGATCTGGATCGTCTTCTGTTAGCTCCTACACAAATGTCAACTTAGATGGATGAAGTTTTCTCCATGGAGACACCTTAGGACAGTTGTGTGACGCACATTATTTTGACGTGCACTTTGACGTGAACTTGATGTTGGATTCTCTGCGACACTTAACAAAATGTCCACTTTCACTTCATCTTCAATGAATTTCGATTTTATTTTTCATGGTTTGGCATATCTAAGTTCTCTGAATTGTGTATAAATTTTAGACATAGTACCTTGTGTAATATTAGGCAACTGAGGATACCTCTGATTAAATAAGTTTACTACTTCAACTTGACTTCTACAATTCCCCCCTTAACCGATCATCATTAAAATCTCAATTCGGTGGGTCTTAGTTAAATATTTCATTTTTATTTCTGCAAGAAATTAGTTTTTAATTAAGAATTTATTATTTTAATGTAAAATGTCAACAGCATGTCAACTGATTGATAACAATCCGCATTATTTATCGATTTAGTTTAATTAGCAGACTATCTATACAGTTTTTACCTATTCACGACAAAAAATGTTAACACGGTTACTAAACAGAATTTTTCCCCAATATACAGTGTACTGACATTTAGAGTAGAAGTCTATTGTCTGTATTTAGCTAATTTAAAATAATATCATAACACGTGATAAATTATTAATTTCAAAATTTCACCTTGTATTATTCATTATAGACCCTACATGATATAGTTCATTGAAATCAGGTTGTTAAAAGTATTTTAAAAATAAAAATATACAGGGTGTTTCATTAAAAAATAAGGATTATGGACTATGCCAGACGTACGTGCCCTGAACATTTAAACTTATGTTTAAAAAGCGCACAAATAAATTTAAAACTTAACGTGTCCCAGAGTTTTTGATTATTTTCTATATTAAAGACACAAACAATTTTATTCCATAAGTGGTTTCCACACTGTATAAAAAGTATCCTTTCTTTTCTTGGCAGAATGTACACAAACGTTGTATTGCTATAAGTGCTTTTTATAAAATACGTCGCCTGAAGGAATGTGTCAGTGGTAGGTTTTGTTGATAATCAAAACTTAAGACATCAACTGATTCATCTTTGCGAGCAACATTGGTATATTCCCTTCATTTGGTATAAAATATTTCGGCCTTCAGTAAGTGTAGACGCTTTTCAGTTTCCAATAGGGTTTTAGTTTCTGCACTGACTACTGCGGCAATTGTGTTGTTTAAGCGGTCACATTTCTGGTAAGCATCTGATCTGGGATGACCGATATTAAGATTATGATTGAGATTAAATTGCCGGTGATAAAAATCATATGTAACTAGTAGCCTAATCACCTTTAAATCTTTCCCATCTTCTAGAACATATTTTTCCGGCCCATATTTTTTAAGGTACAGGCGATGCATTTTTGCAACATTCTTGAACTCAGGAGATAAAACGTACCTTTTCTGATTATGTTTCCTACTATAATGAGATTTTCTTCTGGGAAAACTCCGCATATGTTCCCCGATTTGCGGTATTATTGATTCACTGATTTTGTTTGGTCTATTGGACTGCTTCCCAAGATTATCGGAAGGTGACATAATACTACCCAGAGTAAGATTTTTGGCAATCTGAGACACTCTATTTTTTGATACTTCATGCAAAATACAGAATGCCTTTTTACATACTATGGTTTTTTGACTTCCTACACGTAACTAAAAAAAAAGACATTTTAGAACCAAATATTATAGTTTATAACAAAAATATTACCTTATACTTATAGGTATTGTTTTTTCTCTCCCCTCTCCTGTAGTCGGGCGTTTCCTTCGCACCTTTGACATGCTGAATAATCCTCCAAGATAAATGTCTTGTTTAGTTTTATGTCTCGTACTATAAAACTGCTTAAGTATGTTCTGTTTGCGGGTATTATCTACTGTAGTAAAACATCTATTTCTATAATGGCAATTTGGACCAGTAGTTTTCTTTTGAATTAGTTTTTTTGCCGAGTTAATATGTTCTTTTATAGTTAATAACGTTTCGTTTCCAGTTGATTTCCATCCTTATCCGTTTTTTGCCTTTTTTCTTAACGGTTTGAATGTTTGAACTATCTGTATTATTACGCTCAGATGTTTTTTGCTGTTAATTATTTTTATGGGCACCCTTTTTATCAATAACAAAATGCTTTGATCGACGTCGACTAGGACCCGGAACATCAGAGTTGGAGAAATCCGATAAAACATAGTCAGTCCCAGAATCTGCATATGGATCTTCCTCACTAAATTCACTACTTGAACTAATATTCATAATGCAACGATCTGTTTTACAATTTATTCGTACCGCCGACACACTACTGCAATGTTCAAAACAAATATTAATTGAAATGATATGCGGTATGGTATTCGGTTTGTCATCGCCCGTGGCCTGATTCCCCAAAGTTGCCATTAGTGGCAAGAGACAGTCATCTCCTGGAGTTGACCGATTTTTGCACCCAAGTACTCGTATTTATTGATGCAGTCAACTCCTTAGGCCATATATTTACCTTAATATTTATTGGAGATGACTGATTCTTGCACCAAAAGATGTGCAAACGTTGTTCATATACGATGTACATAAAAACTGAATTTGGGTAAAAAATGAAGTTGGCTTGTATTTTGCACCAAACCCTTCCATTGTTCTATATGTGTTTAGTGGATAACCACTTTTCTGGAAGACTTGTGAAGCCTTAAGTTAAACAGTGACGCTGCTACCAGACTAATTCAAATAAAATGAAAAAAATGTAAACACACTGGCTGAAAACTTTACTAACTAAATACGTATCAAGTTACACAATAAAATCAATAAGTCTAGGATCTCCTTTACAGAACTGGAGTAAAGGTTGATGTCAAAGAAGGCAACAAATCACTAATTCCATTAATCAAGGAAAAGGTAAAGATGGCAGTAGAAAGAATGAAAAGTAAAACAATGCAAAAATATTCCTGTAGGCAAAACCACATCATTTTGGCTGTACAACCCTGTGTGGGTCATAGCCTCCCCAAGAATTCTCTTCCAATCGTCCCTATCCATCGCCTTCCTCCGCCAAGCACGTATTTCCATATTGGCAAAACCACAGCATAAGAAAAAACGTTTAAAATAGCTCCAAAAACAGATATATTTTGTTTTTACCAGTATTTATTTTGTATTTTTTCTTCTTCTTCTAGTTCCATGACCGTTATCGATAGTTGGATATCATGTTGGCTACCATATTCGCTATCGTGACTTTATTGACAGCAGCTCTAAATAACGATGTAGTTGATTTTCCATACCATTGCCTTAGATTTTTCAGCCATCATGTTCTTCTTCTACCAGGACCACGATTACCTTGGATCTTTCCCTGAATGATCAGATGTAAAAGATCATATTTTTCAGGGTGTCTCATAATATGACCGAAGTATTCCAGCTTGCGTTTCTTTATTATATTGACCAGTTGTGTTGTTTGGTTCAGCTGTCTAAGGACCTCCTCATTTCTAACTCTGTCGACCCAGCTTATTTTCAGTAGTCGTCTGTATACCCACATCTCAAAGGCTGTCAAGCGTTTAAGCATAGCCTCAGTTAGGGTCCACGCTTTTACTCCATACAGCAGGACAAGAAAGATGTAGCAAGATATCATACGAACTCTAAGGTCAATGCTAAGATCATGACTGCAAAGTACGTTTCTCATTTTTACAAAGGCAGCTCGGGCTTGTTCTATTCGGCTTTTAATTTCTGCGGTTGGATCCCAGCTCTCATTGATATTACTGCCGAGATACACGAGTTTCTCTACTCTGTCCAGTGTGGCATCTCCGACTTTTATACCGTCACCATGTATATAATTTTGTTTGCTAACTATCATATATTTAGTTTTCTTAACGTTGAGTTTTAATCCATACTGATCACAAGTCTGTTTTATTTTGTTCATTAGATTTTGTAGGTCTTCTCCGCAATTGGCAAGGACTAAGGTATCGTCGGCATATCTAATATTGTTGACGGTTACTCCACTTGTATTTTTTAATCTAAGATTTAATTTGTTTAGCCCTGGGCCTTTAAGGCTTATATACTTATAATACTACTACAAATATCCAATTTTTTAAATTAAAGTTCTTTTTAAATTTTTTTTGTTGATGTCTGTTAATCAAAATAAGTAAAATCACTAAAAAAGTACAAAATTCATTTAGTTTCGTAAAAAATATACTGCAAAATATAAATAACTGTGGCACTGAAAACGTTTTTTACTGTTTCAAATGCTATTACATTATATTTATTGCCTTATTTTTTGCCTACTTTCCAGAGAAAAGTAAATTAGGTTCTTTCTATTTTTTATATCAAAAATTAAAAGGGTCTGATGTAATTGATATTTATCTGTATGTCTAAGATTTGCGAGAGTATTTTAATTTAAGTTAAGCTTCCACCTCACACAACATTTCGAATTTATTTAATGGTATAAAACGTTATATATAGGAAACCTTTTAGAATTTATTATCGATCATTTGGGGATTACTTATTAAACTAAATAAGATTTAAATGAATATATATTCCTACTATAAGGAATAATAATTTATTGCCGTCTGAATCTTAAAGAGAACAAAAGTTTATATAAAAAATAAAAACAAATCAGAAGCTGTTCTAACAAGTTTTTCTTCATCAGATTATAAATAAGCTAGATTAAATTGATAAAACAATAGCATCACATGCCTCTTGTAGACATATAAGGATCCAATGAAATGAGATGTCTATTACCAAATGAAAACACTCTAAGAGAAACTTTAATAGGATGTTCAATAAATTTTGTGTTTCTATAAGAAAGGACGTTGCTTCTAGCTTTTTTTTTGTTATGTTGATACACTCTTCAAGACCAAGTTTCATCTTAATATGGCAATTTATTCTTACGTTATCATAATAACGTTCCATCTTAATTATTACAGTAAAAAGATAGGTTACTGAATTAAAAAGTGGTCTTACAAGCCTTGAAGACGATTCACGTCAAGGACGTCCAAAAGCAGCAACAACACCAGAAATCGTAGAAAAAATTTACGATATCGTATTGGAAAATCATCGAGTGACTGAAAGTGATTAAGTAGAAGCTCTAGACATCTCATTAGGCAGGCAGGTTATATTTTGACTAAAGTATTGGGTTATAGAAAAATAGTTTCACAATGAGTGCTAAATTTGCTAACAATTGAACAAAAACCTATAGGATAAAATGGATATTTTGTATTGATTCTTCACTATGGATGAGACTTGGGTCTATAACCATGATCCTGAATCAAAACAAAACACTAAAGAGTAAGGCTATTGACTATTGATTATGTTTAGAAAATACGGCTGAAAGAAACACCAATGGTAAACGGATTTTATTGTTTTATATTGTCAATGGACCCCTAAATATATAAAAACCGCAGAGTACTTTGAAAGAAGAATTTTCGTATATAAACATCTAAGACAATGTTCAAAGTTCACTTTCTATCGAAATGTCACTTATTAAAGTAAAAAACTTAAAAATGACGTTTCTCTTTTAAATGACGTTTGGTAAGAGTATTTAGGATTTACAGTTTCCCAGATACCATTTTTCAAATTTGTATAACGTTTTATGTATATCTTTTTCTTTGAGTACCGTGCACAAAATAGGCATGTGCAGCTTTAATGACTATGTGCCGATATTCTCCTCGATCTTGCACGGCATGTAACTTGCATTTGTTGATAAACCATTCCATTGACGCAGGTTTCAAAGCCATGAATATTTCTTTCTACCAATTCCTCTTTTTCCCTCGATCTTTCCATTTACTATCAACTATAGTATCCTGTATTTGCTCTCTCATTAGATGTCCAAGTTTTTTTTTATCATTTTCGTTAAGTCACCTACGCCTTAACCTATTATTTTAAGAGTTCTATGTTTGAGACATGCTATTTTGAGTATTCCACGATATAATTACATTTCAAAGGCTCTAATTTGTTTATTATATTAACATTCATGATCCAGGTTTCACATCTATATAGTAATACACTATACACATTGTAGGAACTTGAATCTTAGTCGTTAATTTAGATGAATATTGCACAGCCTATAGATCTAAGTGTCACGTATGCTCCTCTTGCAATTTCTATATGACCTTTAAGTTCTTTATTTGGATTTAGTGTCTTGTTTACCTAACGTCCTAGTTATTTAAAAAGGTTAACTTTTGTAGGTATATGCAATTGTAAATTCAATTGAAAGAAAAATTAATTTCCCTAAAAATAGAAGTAGATGAAGTAGAAAGTAGAAGTAGAAATAGAAGATTTTAGAACTAGTTGTAAGTAAGATACGGTTCTTCAAATATTTCTATTTTTAACGAGTTTGGCTAAGATTTACTTTTTTTTAAATTCTCATTAAAACTGTTTTCTTGTAATTTAGGTATATGCACCAAATTAAAAGACAGCTTATTTTCTGTACTTTACAAATATTCTAGGACTAACGGTAAACAAGATATGATTCGTTAAATTCTACTACTTGCTATGAGTACTATATACCTAAATGAATAAGGAATAAAATATTTTAGTCGCAGTCAGAGACGCAATCAAAGACAAAAATACCAGCTTTACAAATCATACGAACAGGCTAAAATTTGCGAGAATGTCAATTTTGAGACCCCAAAAAAGATGCAAAAAAGTTTGCTACTTAACCCCCGGGCCTCCTAAAACCGCAACCTTACGGAAGATGGGGGGAACAAAACATCGATGATTTACCAAGAATCTGTACGCCGTAGAAAAAATGTTTTAAACAAGAAATATAGCTAAGATAAAGTTAAACAAAAATGTGTATTAGCACTTTTTCTATAAAAGGAACTATTTTTCCAGAAACACCGCTTGAAGCAACCGGCGATTTTAATATATATTTTAGCCGGCATTACTCGTGTGAAATCAATTTTCTAAATAAAATTTGTAATTACTGGATGGTAAAACTCTAATAGCTTTTGATCAGGGTATCCTATCAACAAGATTTAAATGCATTTTAAAGATGAATAGTGCAGCTTTCGTACGCAATTTTTTGCATTTTGCAGTAAATATCAAACATGAATAAAAATCGAAAACTTTGAACAACCGTATCTTCCTTAAAATTGGTCCTCGTCCTCGAGTCTTCTACGGTAGACCATTTTAAAGGAAATTATTTTTTTTTTATTTGTGTATAACCATTGCATATACCTAAGACTGCGTAAAAAAATGTTAGACCAAAAATGGTGTGAGAGGCGAACTTCGACATATCCTACCTCAAATACTGACTGACTTTTATATGACTAATAGAAGGTAAGACACTT